TGTTCTGTTAATCTTTCAGCTGCTAGATAACAAATAAGTTTGTGTGCCAGAAAATTAAATTTTTAACTTCTTAGTGTAATTCCTCCAAGAGATAAATAGACACAAGAGGTATAAGACACATATGTCTTATACCATATAACATATTCTGTCTTTCCTGTTCTCTAATCTAATTGAGCACATTTCCTACACTGGTGTGGGCTCTCAACAATTTTATTTTTCCCTCTTCTAGGTTGATCAAACCCCGGATTACTTTAAAATCCCTTCAAGAACTTTCTGGTTCTACTGACAGATAAACAGGCTTCTCCATATTTTTAATCTTGGACATGTAAAAGTTTTCCTTTTTGAAAATTTATTAGTTGTCTATAGATTTTTCCCTTTATACCTTAACTTTGGTTCAGTTTTTCAACTGTTTTATTAAATAATTATTTTCCTTAAATAATATATTCTTTAAACTATATTTCTAATTTTTTTCCTTGTTTGTTGGAGCATCTTTTTATAAAACATTGTATGAGACTTTTTTTGGTCCATTGTGGGGCCTGAACTCTGGGCCTGGGTGTTGTCCCTCAACTCTTCAGCTCAAGGCTAGTGGTCTGCCACTTGAGCCACAGTGCCGCTTCTGGTTTTTCCTGCGTATATGGTGCTGAGGAATCGAACCCAGGGCCTCATGCATACAAGGCAAGCACACTACCACTGAGCCACCTTCCCAACCCCTGTATAAGAGACACTAAGTATGAAAAGTCTGCATATCTGACTGCCATTCAACAAATGATTCAACACATTTTTAAGCTCTATTTTTAAATTATGTGTTTGTCAAAAGAAAATAATACTTGGGTACCGGCGTAAAGCAAGGGAATATTGTGAATATTAGATTTTTATATTTTGAGATTACATATATACTGATGTTTTGGATTCACTATTATTTTTACGGTAGTGAAGTGAGGTGTTTGTTTTTTCTCTCTCTACTAGATCACAAAAATATCAAATATGTGGCTGGGCGTTGGTAGCTCACGCCTATAATCCTAGCTACTCAGGAGGCTAAGATCTGAGGATCAAGGTTCAAAGCCAGCCTGGGCAGAAAAGTCTGAGAGACTCTTATCTCCAGTAAACTACTCAGAAAACTGGAAGTGGTGTTGTGGTTCAAGTGGTAGAGCGCTTGCCTTGAGCTGAAGAGCTGAGGGATAGTGCCCAGGCCCAGAGTTCAAGCCTCATGACTGACTGACAAAAAAAAAAAAATCAAATATGTGACTTCGGTTTTGGCAGAATGGGGGCTTGAACTCAGGGCTTCATGCTCACTTGACTTGCTCTACCACTCAAACTCCACCTCTAGCCCTACTTTTTGCTGTTTTCTTTTTGTTGTTTCTTTTCTGCCTTGAGAGAATTGTGATCCATGGAATTTGCAGCCTCCTGGGTAGCTAGCTAGGATTACAGGTTTGAGTCATCAGCACCCAGCATGTGATTTCCTTAGTATGTAAAAAAAAAAATTATGATTAGTTACCAGTTTAACAGAAATTGACTTTTCTCTTGAAAAAGCTTAGAGAATAAGTCAGGTGTTTTGTTGTTGTTATTTGTTTTGGTGCTTTGAAGTGCAGGCTGACATTAAACTCAAGATTCTCTGTCTCAACCTCTTCCTAAGCGCTGGAGTTACTGGTAGGTACTACCATACCCAGTGAGAGTGGACTCTGGAGTTAGATTAGTTGAATCTGAATCATAGCCTTGTCATCTGCTAGCTGATGATACCATCGGTGTACCTCTATTCATAATGTGGTTAACAGTAATAGGTCGTTGAGTTTCAAGGTTATTCTGAGTGTTTGGGACCTGCTGAGTACTCAGAACTATATGCTATCAAAATTATTGACAAAGTGATAGAATGTTGAAGTTTATTATGCGTATTTTTCAGTTTTTATATTTGGTGCCAGTATTGGAGCTTGAACTTGGGACCTAGGTGCTATCCCTTAGCTTTGTCACTCAAGGATGGTGCTCTACCACTTGAACCACAGCTCTACTTTTGTCTCTTTGGTGGCTAATTGGAGATAAAAGTCTCATAGATTTTCCAGTCCTGTACAGACAAGTCTTTGGAACTGTGGTCCTCAGATCTCAGGCTCCTGAACAATTTAGGATTACAGGTGTGAGACACTTGTGCCCAGCTAAGTCTAAAATTAAGGACCAGAGTTTCTGGTAGTATTTTCTCTTTCTGTGAAATATGACTACTCCTTCCCTAACAAACTGAACTCCATCTTAGGAACAGGTTGGGCAGTTGGGTTCTCCTGCCCTCATGGAGTCTGATAGGCTTTCAGAATCAAAATAAATGTGAAAGTTAATGTAACACTGAAATTGTAGAGGTGAAGATGAACTCTTCCTTCTCAAATTCTACTTCCTAGCAGGATTAATTCTATTCCAAGTTTTTAATCTCATCATATATTTTTTATAGGTTTAAACCCCACTTCATAAGCTTTCTTCATGGAATGTCTTTAAAATCCAGACTTCCTTACGTAAGTCTCAGATGAAAACCCATTCAATTAAGTCCTTTCCTGATCTCCTAACTACATTAGAATAATGACCTCCTAATCCCTATATTTACCCTGCTATAGCCACCTCCACTGAGGTACTGCTGCTGTCCAGCAGAGACTTGATGACTGGAAAGTGCTCTTTATTTATCGAGTAAGATGTTCACCATGGAGAATTGTGCTCAGTCTCAGATTCATAATGTCCCTCTAGGTCACATAGGTGAACCCTTTGTTTATAGATTTCAGCATCAAGAGCCTTGATGTATATATTTACATACACACACTTTTGGCAAGGTTATAGGATTTTCCAGGAATAAAAACTATTGTGTTACTGAAGAACAGTTGTTCTTTGTTTTGTTTGGAACCCATGAGTAGTTGACCATTTGGGGTAATCATGTACTGGTGGCAACATTTATTCATAGTGATTCAATAAATAGGTGGAAACACTTGATTATGTGCCAAATATTTGTTTGCATTTAACTGAAATTAGAAGGAAAAATTAAAACTCTAACCCAGATGAAGAAAAACAATTATCCTTTTCCTAATAATAAATTTGTTTTTCTCTCTTATTCTTCCTTTATACTATAGACAATCCATCTCTTAGAGTAAACAAGAACTTAGTGGAGACAAAAACTGTTTTACTTACCTTTGAATCTCCAGTGCTTGCCAGGCACATTAATTACTTAATATTTATTCAGTTGAATTAGTAGTAAAAGAGTAGTATTTGTTTAACAAATGTTTATTGAATCAGACTCTGCTAGTCAAAGAGGACAAAAAGACACTGTCCTTGCTTTCCAGGAACACATTATATGATATTTTTAAGAAGGGAATTTGCTATGAACTATATGTTTGTAATGAAAAACACTTAAGTCTTGTGGGGAGATCCTGAACAAATCACAGAAGAGAAATTGTATTTAGTATCATAATATCAAGGTAGATTGAATAAATATTTGGAAGCCAATCATGGTGGTACATGCCGATAATCTAGTTTCTTGGGTAATAGAGTTAGGAGGCCCTACTTCAAGACCTACTGGGGCAAAAGTTAGTAAGATCTTGTCTCAGAAACAAGTCTCATGTGGTAGGGCATTTATGTAATTCCAGCTACTCAACAGGCAGAAGTAGATGGATCACTGTCCAAAGCTGAAAGCATTACATAGTGTTACATACACTACTTAATATAAGCTAAAAGAGGGGCTGGGAAGGTGGCGGAGTGGTAGAGCGCTTGCCTTGTATGCATGAGGCCCTGGGTTCGATTCCTCAGCACCACATAAGCAAAAAGAAAAAAGCCGGAAGTGGTACTGTGGCTCAAGTGGTAGAGCGCTAGCCTTGAGCTGAAGAGTTGAGGGACAGTGCCCAGGCCCAGAGTTCAGGTCCCATGACCAGACCCCCCCAATAAATAAATAAAAATAAATAAAATATAAGCTAAAAGAATTGGGGTCATGGTTCAATTGGAAGAGCCGTTGCTAAGCAGGTACCAACAAAATAAATGAATATTTGGAAATTCAATGAATGAGGGTAGTTCTACAGAGTGAGAAAAAAGGTTGCAAATGGTCAAGTTTAAGGAAGGCATCCTAAACAGGAAATTCCTGTCCAGAAATTCATAGGTGCAAGTTAGATTTTGAATCCTAGGAGCTAAAATTCTCCCTGTAGGTGAAGAGCCTTCTTCCATAAAAAATGCCTAGCTTTTTATCTAACTCGTGGTAGAAACCATTGCTTTATTAGAGGTGCCTAGTTATTGTACCTAGAGGTACAAAGTAATTACAGTACCTTTTTTTTGTGTGTCAGTCATGGAACCTGAATCCAGAGCCTCATGCATGCAAGGCAAGCACTCTACCACTGAGCCACCTTCTCAGCCCCATTACAGTACCATTGTACACTTGGGAAACTGATAGGAATTAATTTACTTACCCAGATTTTCATAGCTACTGAGTGGAAAACTTTTAAGATTCAAACTGAACTCAGTTGGGTCTTCATCTTCTGTCAGCTTTTTGAACTACATTTTACAGTCCTTCCAAGAGATAAGGTAGATACTGTCACACTTTTCAAAGACTCTGACTTCTCTGCTTGTACATTATTCTCAACATTAGCAAATTCAAAACTTGTATGTAAATTTAAGTTAACAGTTTGGGACCTGATATGGTTTATTTTTATGGGGTATTTTTTTTATCTTGGTACCAAATTCTGTTCTAGTTGTTGTCTGGGTTTAATAAAATGCTTTTTCTGCTAATATTTGTACGTCATGGACTAGTCAACATGGTTTTATATTTAAAGGAGAAAATTTTGAAGTACTACCTTTTTTGGAGACATTTATGTCTGAGTCTCCACATCCAAAAAAAAAAAAGGCTCAAGTAGAGTACTTAAATTTGGTAAGAAAATCAGTATTAATCTTAATTCTGTTTAACATAAATATTATTTAAGTAAATGATTCTACCACATATAATAATGGCATGTGTGGTTACCTTGAAATACTTCACATATTATCTAATTAACCCAACAATGAGTGACTACTCTGGGGTAAAATTCTTCTTAACTTCAATGGCTATTAAATGTGGTAAGTTCTGGAGTGGATGGTGGTAATTGTTGCACAACAGTGAGAATATACTTAATGGCACTGAACTGTACACTAAAAATGATTAAGCTGGTAAATTTTACATGTCTATTTTGCTGCAATTTAAAAGAAAAGATGATGTTCACAAGTTTAAAGTTCCCTGATAGCTCTTATCAAGCAATTATCAGTCAAATATTTTTGAGAGCTTTTTGTTACAGATAGCTTAAGAAAGGTTTGGGGAACATTTACCCAAGCAACATGCTCCAATTAGAAATTCTGAATACTGAGCTGGGAAGGTGGCTCAGTGGTAGAGCGCTTGCCTTGCATACATGAGGCCCTGGGTTCGATTCCTCAGCACCACATAAGCAGAAAAAAAAGCCGGAAGTGGCACTGTGGCTAAGTGGTAGAGGCTTAGCCTTGAGCTGAAGAATTGAGGGACAGCACCCAGGCCCAGAGTTCAGGCCCCATGACCGACAAAAAAGAAATTCTGAATGCTGAACAGTTTGAAAAGAAAAAATATCCTGTTTATTTGAATGCAGGCAAAGAAGGAAGGTTGGTAAGGACCTGATAGTATGGTGAGACCATCCTTAGAAGGGATATCGTGATGAAGATGCTTTTTACACTGGACTATTGTTGGTCTTAGCTTTAGTTTCTTATGTAAAAGGACACCTGAAGGGTTAAGTGGGCACACCCTAGGAGATAATATATAATGGCAGGTCAACCCAGACAGAATTAAGACTTACACTCAAGTTTCCCCACCCTCAGTAGTTTTGGAAAAATGAATTGTCACTTGTTAGCTTCACAAAAATTAAAAGAACATGAAGTATTCATACTGGTTTTGTTGTTGTTGTTGTTGGTGGTGGTGGTGGTGGTCATGGAGCTTGAACTCTGGGCCTGGGCACTGTCCCTCAGCTATTCAGCTCAAGGCTAGCACTCTACCACTTGAACCACAGTGCCACTTCCAGTTTTCTGAGTGGTTTGTTGGAGACAATAGTTACATGGACTTTCCTGCCCAGGCTAGCTTTGAACCATGATCCTCATATCTTAGCCACCTGAGAACTGAGATTACAGGCGTGAACCACTGGCGCCCGGCAGTATTCATATTGTTGACAAGTATGATGCATAACATTGGAAAGTAATATGGTATTAACTATTAGGTTAGCCTAATAATTCCTCTGGCATCCTACTATGTTATAGGACACTAGCATGAGGGTCCTTGTGGGATTTTCTTTAGTGATGTTTGTAATGGCAAAGAACTAGTAACTGTGGAAGTCAAACCAGAAAAGGTTGGACAAATTATGTCCTATCCGTTTGAAAAATAAATGTGTATCTGTTAAAAGGTAAGTTAAATCTCCATATATTGGCCTGGAATGATGGTCATGCTATATATATTATGTGTAAAAAAAGTTGTAGAGTGGACCATGTGTGGTGGTGCATACATACAATAACCAGCTGTCAGAAAGGCAGAGGTAGGAGGAATGAAGGCAGTAAAAGGCTGGCCCAGAACAAAAGTGGGTGGCCTTATCTGGAAAATAAGCCAAAGCTAAAAGGACTGGAGTTATGGTTTAAGTGGTAGTGGCCTTGGGGCTCGGAAGGTGGCTCAGTGGTAGAGCGCTTGCCTTGCATGCATGAGGCCCTGGGTTCGACTCCTGAGCACCACATAAGCAAAAAGAAAAAAGCCAGAAGTGGCGCTGTGGCTCAAGTGGTAGAGCGCTAGCCTTGAGCTGAAGAGCTGAGGGATAGTGCCCAGGACCAGAGTTCAGGCCCCACGACCAGACCCCCCCCCCAAAAAAAGTGGTAGTGTCCTTGCCTACCAAGCACAAGCGCAAGCACAAGGCCGAGTTCAGGCTTTAGTATTGTACCCCCAAAGAAGAGAAAAACTATGTTATAAAACTATATACCGAGTATGACTGAGAATAAAGGTGAAGAAAAAGATTGATGTGAGATATATAGCTGATTCACAGAGTTAGCTTGGTGAAAAAACTTTCCTTGTATAACCATTTTTATTATGGTAATGTACTTCATGAAATTTGTTAAGTTCTTGAAGTCAGAAGGAAAGAGAAATCTCTAATAGAAATTCTGCTAGGTTAATTGGAGGGGTTGATAGCTGAAAGAGGGCAGTAGTTACAGTGATCTCCATCTTGAGTTGAATTGGTCACACACTGTTCACTTTGTGCTTATGATTTGTACAAATTTGTGGCTCCTTATATCAAGTGAAAGTTTATAATGGAACACTATTCTTAAATTTTCTTTAACTGTGTAACATAGAAGCAAGAAATGGGCTGGGAATGTGGCTTAGTTAAAAACAGGTTGGGATTGTGGCTTGTAGAGTGCTTGTGTAGCATTCATGAAGCCCGGGGTTCAATTCCTCAGTACCATATACACAGAAATAGCCAGAGTGGTCCTGTGGCTCAACTGGTAGAGTGTTAGCTTTGAGAAAAAGCAGCTCAGGGACAGTGCCCAGGTCCTGAGTTCAAGCCCCAAGACTGGCGAAAGAAAGGAAGGAAGGAAAGAGAGAGAGAGAAGGAAGAGAGAAGGAAGGAAGAAAAGAACTAACAACCCCATTATTATATAGTTGAATGTATATAAACAGAATGAAGGCTGGAATAAAAACACAAATATTTCATAGATGTTATATTCAGAAAGTATTTGTGGGTTTTTATTTATTGTTTAGGAAGTCAATTGAAGGTGGCGATCAAAGTCTGATTAGAGGATAGAAGCAGAAAATAAAGGTGGAGAAGAGGAAAAAGCATTTTAAAAGGAAAGAAAAACAAGCCTAACTAGAGAGGTGTAATAATGTCGGGAAAAAATTGTTAACACCTACTAGGAAAAGGGTTTTTACTAGAGCTGTCAAAACCATCATATAATAATGGAGTCCCATTTAAAATCCTCTCCTTTATCAAAGTATCTTTTGTAAGTTGATACATAGGGTTTTTTGGTTTTGTTCAAGAATTTAGTTTCAATGGGACTTCCATTGACCTAATAATCATAATTGGATATACCAGGTGCAGCGTAAGAAACCTGTCTTCTCTGTCTTCACGGACTAATTCAAGTAATTTGCTCTTTCCTTATTTGTCAAGAAGGGGCAAATAATGTACTTAAGTAGATTTCAGAGAGAATCACATGAAAGGAATGCATGTGAGAATAATAGAATTCAACACTACCCAACTGTGAAAAATACTTGATTTTCCTTCAGCCCAAATTCTGTAGTTGTAGAATGTAATTCTTTCATGATAGAATGTATCTAATTTGAGTCCAAAAGTTGAAGCTTATGAAAGAATTCATTTTTTCACCCAGATTCAACGTAGGTTTCGTTTAACGTCTTAGGAAGTATGGGTGTTTTGGCTTACACGCCAGTGCTGCTTTACCTATCAAAGTGAAGTGTAAAGCATTTCCTAATTATTGCTGGGAAGTCGGGAACTGTGTTTTCTCCCACCCCCAGCCATTCGTCGCTCCCCCTTCCCCCCGTGTTTGCTTGAAATAAGGAGGCGAGTCCGGTTTCTTCGGGTGATGTGGGGGACCTGACCCTTGAGCCGGAGTGAGCCAGCCGCCTGGAGCGGTTGGGCGGGGAAGCGTGGTGGCACTAGGACCCAGGGGGCTCCCGCGAGCGGATCTTGGGGCCAGATTGCAAATTCGCGGTGACTCAGTCTGGTCGGCTCCTGGCGC